CCTGCTTTGCATTAGTGTCCCTTCTACCTAGCAAAGGTTCCCTGCTGTGACTGCTACGGAGTATCTTCACAGCAGGTCTGACCAAGGGGTCATGTGTTCTTTGGGTTCCATGTCTCTAGTTTCTAGTTCTAGTTTTGATCCGACCAACTTCCAGCCAGTGTCATCTTTATCCTAGTAGTTCTTAGCAGACTCCTCTCTGGTCTTGGAGTTTTTCAGTGTTTTTCTTGATCTAAAACATCCCAGTGCTTTTTTTTTTTTTTTTTTTTTGTACTTATAGAACTCTTTTGACTTTCTGTGCCGTCACTTTATTAAGTAGTCTCTTGGTACATGTCTCTTACTGGTTTCCTTCCACAGTTTTTTTTCATGGTTTTGCTGTTCATGGAACGTCCTTACAGTCTGGACTCTCGTTTTTTTCATGGTTTTGCTGTTGATGGAACGTCCTTACAGTCTGGACTCTCATAAGTGACACAGTAACTCTGTTATTTTCTTTTTTATCCTGCCCTATGAGCATGTAGTATTTACAATTATTTTCTCAAGTCTATTGGGAGATCTTTAATTTTGTGTTGACACTTGTGCGTGTAGTAGCTTAAACTCCAAATGGCATGTACTGAATATCTGAAAGAGGTACTTCAGTTTTTACAACAATTCCAAGGTTTACAGCAATCCTGTGTAAAACCACATGACTTAAAATAGAGTCATAAAGAGTATGCACTTATAGTATGTGTGCTTTGTTTGTAAGGTAAATATGTCTGCTTCCTAACTAAACCAAAATGTTCAAAAATGCACTGAGGAATGTAAGCAATGAAAACTGCCTCCATTGTTCAAAAGTTTGAACACCACTGACTGAAAACAAATTCATAACACACATGTAAATGAACAGCAAATACACGTTTGTTCAGCAGTTTGACAACGGGACAGCTGTCTTCTCCGTGTCTCCGTTTATTCGTCGTAGACAGTGGTGTACTGCTTCAAGTGTATGCGTGTCCATTTACTGTAGTATTTGAGTGTAGAGGAGATAACGTTCTTTAATCCCACAATATTTTTATCTCTGTGCTTCACACATACAGAGGGAGAGAGAGGTAGATAGAGACAGAAAGAGTTTACAGCCACAAATAAACCAGACACAGAAGGAGCAGAGGGAGACATAACACACTAACCTGCTCTCCAAGTGGTCGCACGGACCACATGTTGTCCTGGTTTAAAGTCCACCTGTTCCAGAATTGTCTTTTCCGAACACAAAAAAAAACCTCGAACACCTGACACGCGCACGGACACGGAGTCTGAGCAGCACAGACAATCTGACTCGTCGTCTTCTCCTCTCCTTCTGTAACTGAGTAAATGTAGCTAAGAAAACCCTCAACACTCAACTCTCACAAACTCCTCTGCAGGGAAGGGAGGCGGAGGCGGAGCCTTGGAAACTCTGGACCAATTACAGACTGAAGTGTCGCCTTTACTCTTCTCTCATTGGACACAGCAATGTCAAAGCCGTGTCAAACTGGGAGGCGTAATCACGGAGAAAAATACACCCGGCGGCCACGCCCATTGTCTCATTATTTCACACGGGTTTTTTTTTTCTTTTTCGTCATAGTCTCTCCAAAATGTTTTTACACAAATAAAAATGTGTTTCCACTGTCAACAGGCTGTTCATGTAATAATGAATAAGGTAATTACTCAAAATAGGGTATAAAGAAAGAGAAAACTCGGTTACACAATGGCCATAAAGTAAAGTAGGTCATGAGAAGACCTCACAAAACGACCATTCCTAAAGATTTTAACAAAGGAATGACAATAAAAAAATACAAACATTGCTTAATTAAAAAACGAAATATTTAATGGGTCAACTTTTTCACCCCAGATATTGTTTATTTTGTGATTTTTCTTTATTGTTGTTATTCCTGCCCTAACTTTTTATCATCTTGAGGCTTTTGTTTTGATTTTGAACTTGGTTAAGAAAACATTTGGCAACGTCTGTCCGCATTTTTTGCTGACCTCTGGTTAGCCTTTTTACCCAAATGATGTACATTTAATGTTTTTGACATATTTCGCCCACTGCAACTATTATCGGATAGAATAATTGTCATTATGATGACATTAAGTCATAATATATTACACCATAGCTTTCTGTTATGTCACAACTTATTATTATTTAAAAACAGTGTAAATAGTGAGAACATGAGTCATTGAACGTTTTTACAATGAGACAACTATCTCACAATCTCAATAATTATCACAAGCATTCAAAAGGGAAACAATGACTGGAAAATCACACGTGATTTTTTTTTTGACATAATTAGGTTTTTTTAAGAGTTCGTTAGTCAGGGGTTGTGGATTATACACACACACAGTCTGGTTTACATGAGTTGAAAAAACGTCATTTAGACTTTATACACTCTCTAACTCCTAACACTAACCTCAACCATTTCAAATATATGCTCAATCCTAACCCCAACCCTCAACCAACACAGCCGGGATTCCAAATGTAACATTCGAACTAAATGTCCCCACAAGGACAAGAATACCAATAAATGTCCTCACAACTATGCCTGTACCTTGACGCGCACACACGCCAAGAAACGCTGGTTGTCATAGAGATCTCTTGCTCTATCTATTGGAAAAACTGAGGTACTGCACCCGTTTCTCACATGGCCCAATCATTTCCTTCACATCTGCATACAACATCGTGCTAGGGACTTTGTCCTGTAATCCATCACCACAAACATGTAATGATCGAATGATTAGAGACACACTGCTGGACCACACCTACAGTCCAGGTGAATAATGTATACATGAAGCAGGAAGACAGAGCTGATCCATACAGTAAAGAAATCTTACTAAAACAGAACACTGAATAAAATATTAAATCGCTCCTGTATGTGTCTGGGACATTTTCCCTCTCCACTGACACTGACATACAGTATGTAACATCGCCATAATTTATAAAGCTGTAACTAAATTGATCATTTCACACATATCTAATGATCACTTATGTTGTTATGACTATGGTAAGTCACTTACTTTTGTTAGGTTACGACAAAAGTTAAGTTAGGTTTGTTCCTTCTGTTGTCCCTGAAACAGTTCTTTTTTTTCTCTGTCTGCGTTCTGTAAACATATGTGATACCTGCTGTGATCATAGCCACAACTGTTGTCAGCTCAGGGCCATCAGATATTGTTTGTCTTGTCTGACAATAAATGTGAACACACACACACACAGAAACTCACCAGATGTGATGAAAAAGGTGGAGGAGACCCTGTGAAAGTCAGCAGTGTCCAGTGTGTTGTTTCGGTCCCAGCTACTATCTCCCTCTCTTCCTCCCCCTTCTCTCTCTCTCACACACATCACCATCCCCTTGTCATAAAGGAGACCATAGTCATATCTGATAAACACAGGGCAAAGAGCAGCGATAGCAGCATTGGAAACAGTGGGTTCACATCAGCGCAATAAAGAAATTAAACACGCCGCAGCTCGAATGCCAACAAAACAGACGTCGTAGGATAACGACGGAGTAATTCCTACTCTAGTACTGGTTATGATTTTACCTGCTGTGTTTGAATTAAAGATGAAAGGCCGCAGTACGTCCAAGAACAAGGACTTGAAGGAATTTCACGTCTTCATGTCCAGGAGCTTAACTGAACATATGACTCACATTTGAGGATTTTTTTTATAGCAATTATTCTGTAAATACAGGAATTAATTGTCCAATCCTACTGCCAGGAAAATACCAAAAGTATCTTTTTAAAAAAAACTTTTACTAGTGTAACAACACTATTTAGAGCAGCTGTTCTCAGTTCTTTCACCATGTACCACCAAAGAAAATATTTGTCTCTCCCAGTATCACAATACATGTGAATATAAAGTACAGCACCAGGCTAATACTGCTCAGTAAAAACCAGAATACGAACAAAATAATTTATTCCTAATAAAATTATTAGCCAAAGACACACTTTACAACGAGGCAACAATACAACTGGACCTAATTTCTACCTATTCAAGTACTATTTTTATTTAAACAGTATTTAACAACTAATTCACCTACATCTACACGTCAATTTACTCCTTCACAATTTGCCAACATGTTAAATAAAAGAAATTACGTCCGCACGTACCACTAGGGGCAGTCAAGGTACCACCAATAGTATGTGAAGAGAATGACCTCAAGACTGTAGTGTAACAACAGCAATAATAATTGTTAAAGACGAGGTTCACCAAATTACATGTGTGAATATATGTGTATATAAACATATATATATACATATATAAATATACATACATATATATATATATATTCTGCTATATCATATTGAACCTTAGAGGCACAATATACAAGGAGGGGTCTTGCTCTTGTAGGCTATACTCAAAGCCAGTATATTAAATTTGGATTCACAGCACACATACTACTCTAACTCAGGGTTTTTTTTTTTTTTTATTCCAACCTCGGTGTATTTTTAACGTTTCTTCATGTGGTACAGGCTTTGAGTTACAATGTCTGAGCTGGAAAAACTTCTCACCGATACACTTTATTACCTGCAGATGGCGCTACAGCTCTGGCTGATCAAAGACTCCCTCCTGCCCTCCTCCACTCACTCCATCAACCTCCCTGACTGTTGTTTGGCGCACTGAGAGTCAGGACGCGCACACCCGACGCATCACAACCTGAGGTCCCAGGTCTGGAGAGCAGCATCCTGGAATTCTGATTTTTCCCTGACTCTATGAATTTCAAGATTATGTTGACAACACGTCGATGCCTCGTGTTTGTTGTGACTTTTGCCAAACTCTCTCCCTTCCGCCACACAGCGCTGGTGTTCGTTTTGGTGGTGGTTTATCCGTTTGTGTTTGGTTGAGCATGCCGCAGGTGTCCCTGTCTGAACTGATGTCTGCTGCTGGTGTGACTGCTGCTGAGGCTGGTGCTGATGCTGCAGCGGCATCTTCACGACTCTGTCTCTGTGTGTGACTCACTGTGACCACAAACATCCCGCCTCCAGGTCCTCTGTTACCTCTGCTCTGACGCTGAGATTCACGGATCTGCGCTCTATAGGTGAGAGACAGAGAGTGAAACAGAAGTAAAAGGAGTTAGAATTTTGGTCTGTTAATATCTTAATCGGGTATAAAAAAAGAAAGAAAGAAAAAACAAAACAAATGAAAATACGCGGTGTTGCTCTGAAGAAGTGTTCGTTCGCTGCGGAGTGAATCTTTGACAGAGAACTCGTTGCGCGCCGGTTCATCCCTGGAGTTGGACCAGGATCATGGCAGGAAAGTCCGGAGCCAAGGGGCCTCGGAAGTCCCAGTACCACTTAGGGTCAGATCTGACCCCGTAAATAAACAGCATGCCCTTTTGGCCCAACCGCTCTGAGTGTCTCTCCCACGGTAACTGCAGCTGGGAGAAGATCCAGAACGACAGCAACATCAGCTGGAGTCCAGAGGACCTTCCTCCTCTTAACTACTACTCTATCCCCCTCCTCACGGTCATCACCGTTGCCTGCACGCTGCTCTTTCTGGTCGGGATGCCCGGTAACGTCATGACCATCTTGGTGGTCAGCAAATACCGGGACATGCGCACGACCACCAACCTGTACCTGTGCAGCATGGCCGTGTCGGACCTCCTCATCTTCCTCTGCATGCCCCTGGACCTGTACCGCATGTGGAGGTACAGGCCGTGGCTTCTGGGGGACGCGCTGTGTAAACTCTTTCAGTTCGTGTCAGAATCGTGCACCTACTCCACCATCCTCAGCATCACCGCGCTCTCAGTGGAGAGATACCTGGCTATCTGCTTCCCACTGCGCGCCAAGGCTCTGGTGACCAAACGCAGGGTCCGCGCCCTCATCCTCCTGCTGTGGACCGTGTCTCTGCTGAGCGCAGGGCCCGTGTTCGTCATGGTGGGAGTGGAGAGGGACGGTACAGGCATGGAGCCACTGAACTTCACGCTGGACGTCAACGAGACTGACTTGTACCCGGAGATTGGAGACACCAGAGAGTGTAAGATGACGCACTACGCCGTGGAGTCGGGGCTGATGGAAGCCATGGTTTGGCTGAGCTCCGTCTTCTTCTTCATGCCAGTCTTCTGTCTCACGGTCCTCTACAGTCTGATAGGGCGGAGGCTGTGGCAGAGACACCGGGAGACGAACATCAGATCCCGCGTCTCCTACAGAGACAAGAGCAACAGGCAGACCATCAAGATGCTGGGTGAGTTTGGAGCGCGCGTAATTACGCACGGCCACCCGGTCAGAGACAACGGTACCAGGCAGAAAGGATTCGGAACACAGCTTGAAAAACATGTTTAAAAAACTCAACAAAAATATATATAAAACGTCACAAGTATGTATTAATGACCGATTTATCGCCTGGAGCACAAACCACAGACGTGCGTTAACATAATATTTCCCAATACTTCAGTTGTTTTAGAGCAGGTTTTATTACTGAACTTATTTTACGCATATCATTTTACGTACAATTGTTCAAGTATCCCATACACTTGGCTACCAGCCAACCTGATTCTAAAAGAAAGGGGGGGAAAATCTTTAAAATAAAATTAATATCTATCAGTTAGTAATGTACACAAGCTGCCAGATATTAAAACAAACATTGAATTAATGAGTGTTTTCGGGTTTAATTTGAAAAACACTGTAATGGAGGTTCCTCTACCATTATTTTTTGGGTGGAAACATCCTGGTCAGTCACTGGGGTTTCTAGAAACAGGTTTTGTGTCCTGTGGTTTTGGACAGTTTTTACGCTCAGGGTATGGAAACATGTTTTTGTACCTCACAGAAGCAAAAAGATTTAAACGTGAAGAACTTGAGTGTCTAATTTCATGGTGTTCTGCTCGTCTCCCGCTCTCGCCCCCCTCCAGTGGTGGTGGTCCTGGCTTTTGTCCTGTGTTGGCTGCCCTTCCACGTGGGTCGCTACCTTCAGTTTCGCTCCCTGGACGCTCCGTCCCCTTTTCTGTCTCTGTTGTCAGAGTACTGCAGCTTGGTGTCCGTGGTCCTCTTCTATCTGAGTGCCGCCATCAACCCCATCCTCTACAACACCATGTCCTGGAAGTACAGGGTCGCGGCCGCTCGTCTCTTCGGCCTGGCCGACAACCAACCGCCACGAGGACGGACAGTGACCGCCAGCTCTGTGAAGGGAGACGGGTTGAATGTGTGGACGGAGTCCACAGTCAGCTTCTGAAATATAGTCAAATGTAACATCAGTCCATAAGAAGACTTTTTATTGTTGTTTCTGATTATTATTTCGGGGTCTCAAATTACACGTACCGTTTTTTTCCGTACTAAGTCGCAGCAGCCAAAAAACACATAATGAAGAAGAAAAAACATATATATAAGTCGCTCCGGTGTAAAAGTCGCACCAGTGCCCTCTAGAGGCTGTCAGTATGAAAATAATAAGTAAATGTTCAGTGGTACAGGAGTAGCAGATACTGGTTCACAAGCCTAAAGTGCCCTCTAGTGGCTGTCAATGTGACAATAAAAAGCATGTGAAATTGTATATTTTAATATATAAGTCGCAAACCCAGCCGAAGGATGAAAAAAAGTGCGACTTATAGTCAGAAACATACGGTAATCACCGTGAACACAGATGCACACTACAATTAAAAAAAAAAAAAACATGAACACAGATGGGCAGCACACTGCAATTAAAAAAAAAAACTTAAAAACTCCAACAACTATCCTACACTTATTTGCCTGATAACAGCCTATTTTGACTCGTCTCTTAATTAGCCTATGAAATTAGCCATTTATCTTTCATACACAGGGAAACACTACCACCAAGTGGCTTACCATGTGAAGTGCAACTATACTGTATATGTTAAGCTGTGAGCCAGTGCTGCAACTCATCTTTTTCCCAGGACAGTAACAGCATCACTGGCTTCAGTTCACCCCTGTTTTCTTGGTGTAGCATTTCTGGGTCAACATGGGGTCAACCTCTGGGCTACATGGGTACAGAGTGGGCCTGGATTTGGACTAGACAAACTGTGTAGGCCACATGTGGTTACATACACAGAGGCCAAGCGCTAATTCTAGCTGGGGAAAGTGGGTAAAAAAGAAGCTGAGCTCAAAATGTCTCTGTTTCTTTTTTGTAAATATTTGTTTTATTTTAGCTCTAAAAGATTGTTACGTGTGAAACCAGAAGAGCAGGGAAATACTCGAATGAAACTTTACACACAAACAGACACGAACAGCTGCCTTATACTGTATACTTAACCTCTGGATGACAAAGAAAGCACTGTAGAATTTATGACACTGCTCTCTGGCCTGAGGGCTGAAGTGCAGAGAATGTGTGTGTGTGTTTGTGTGTGTTTGTTTGTGTGTGTGTGTATAAGTAGAGAAAGTGTGTCAGTATGCAGGCAAAGAGAGACAAAATATTTGTGGATTATTCGTCAGATGTTACTACTTAAGTGTGTGATGTGTTATGTCATGTTTTTTTGGGGGGAAACTTACAGTTTGTCGTTGCAGCTGCCAACATGAATCAGTCCCACTGTCTGACCCTACAATCCCTATCAGTCAGTCTGTATTAACTACCCACCATTTTTTTTGTTGGACCCCAAATAGCAACACCTTGGGGTAAAACAGTAGAAATAGCTCACAATTATCCAGATATGAGTAATGCTAATGAAGATTATGTTCAAGTTAATCAACGTTTAGGCCAATTATCCAACCTTTAGCGATATGTCAGCCAAATATTAGATAAAAATAATCCTAGAAATGGGCTACTGTATATAAAGAGACCTTAATTGTGTAGTCTTAATGAATAAATAAGTAAAAGTAGAATCAAGAAAAGATAAACGTGAGTCAAAATAATAGCTAAATGTGAAAGTCAAGATAAGATAAGATGAGTCAAAATAATAGCTAAATGTGAAATGCCCACAAATTTGTAAAAAAAAAGAGAGAAAACTCAATCAAAAACTCAACCCAAAAATATTACATTGTTTAAAAAATAAGCTTAAAAAGATACTGTAATTTCTATAATACAATTTAGCCCAAAATGGATAAATGGTAGCTGCAATTTAATGAATCAACTTAGCATAAACAGAACCAAAAAAAAGCTCTATGTAACCAAAGACTGGTCATAAAATGTGATTAATAAAACTATGCTCTTTTTGACCAAATTAAAAATATCTACGCTAAGAGGTAGCTAAAAGCTTGATACAAATGTTGGCCAAGATGATAGCTCAAAGTTATCTTACGATTTTAAGGGATTAGCTAAAACTGCACGCCAAAAACAAGTCCACTGTCTTAGAGAACTTGTTTTTGTCTTGCACCACTTTCACATACTTCTCTGCCACTCCTGACTTTCTTGTTATTATTATGCAGTAGAAGCAGCCGGATTAAACCTACTTTTTACATTTCAAATGTTCATCCTGATCCTGAAACAAACAAAGTGTAAGTCTGTAAGTGATGTCACTAAAGTTGCTTTAATTTGTAAATACGTAGATAGTTTGTACTGTGATGTTGTCCACCTACAGCCAAAACGAACACACTGGAGGTCAAAGCATGACCTCCAGGCTCTGATGAATGTATCTGTACACAATGATGTCATAAAGTTCTTTTTATGGATATACAAGATTTTTTTAAAAAAAATAAATGCTTGTAAATATTTCCGCTTGTTAAACTATTGGATAAAGTTAAAGAAATGTCAATTCTCCTTGACTTTTATTGCCATCATCAACAAAACCTGAGAATTACCAACTTCACTGGTAAACACAGAGCAACACTGCCGTGAAATGGCTCACGATTTAGCCAACGGGTCTGATGACTACATTAATCCCAGTGACCCACAATGAGGTCACCACCCACCTTTTGGGAAACTCATTATTTTTACTCTGACCAGATCCACGTATTCTTTTTTTATCTGACCAAACTGTGTTTATTTAAAAATAAAACAGCGTTTTGTGAGTTTCAATATTACACCATACAATTCAAAATGTAAAAACAACTCAAATTTGACTCATGTATGAAATTAAACAAAACTTATTACCATTGTTTTTTCTCGTTTTAAATCAAATAAAACGTTTTATTATTGTATAATTATTATTGTTTTTTTTTTTTTAAATCTAGAAATGTTTATTTGAGACAAAGTTTGATGTTTGGCATTCTACTCTCAACATCTTTGCTTTACGAAATCATCACTGGAACTCTTCATCTTGACCATGTCTGGAGTCAGACCTGAGTTTTGTGTTCCACAGTTGTAGTCCAGCACCTGGACTGCAGTCGCATTGAGCCGCAACATGCGTGAGGAGGAGGTCAGCCCCCTTTAGCGCCCTCTGCAGGGCTATTTCTTTGTGTTTAACTACCTAAAGAAATACATGAAATGTACAGTATTGTGCCGCTGGTATTTCCTGATGGAGAAGACCGTAGTTCATTCATATGAGACAAAGTGATGCCGACACAATAAAATTGTGCAGTTTCAGTCAGAGTCAGAAAAAATTAAAACATTTATTGGGCATAAATATATTATATATATGCTACCGATACTGTTACGTCTTACATACATAGGGTAGTATTTGCAAAAATCTATACATTAAAATTGATATGGCAGTTTCTTTTTATATAATGCATATGAAATTGTCTAACATTTACAATACAAGAAGAAATGCATGAATTTCTTTTTCTCATTCAAATTCGAAGACCATGACAACATTGGAATGTTTGCTTTTTTGTTTATAATCGTGAGGTAAAAATACGTTTCTCTCTTTTTTTTTTGTCTTGCGTAAAAAATATTTAAATACCTGTGAATCTCTGTGTGTTTGTCAAATCGCCAATCTCTCAGTCAAAATCTCTACTTACTGTAAAAGGTACAAAAAAAAAACATTTGAAAAGGAAATAATATGGTTAGAAGGCACAGATGTGGGGTTGAAATAAAAAAAAGAATAAAAAGAATAATAATAAAAGGTTTATAAAATCACCAGCATTTGAAAAAATAAAGTTGTCATAGAAGCAGGTTAAGGGAGTACCTTCTCCAGGAACACAGTCAGCCTCAGACAATAGTGGCCTGAATTTGTCAGAACACGAGGCAAACCTCTGCTCTCCCTCTCTCTGGGCCATTAAAGGAGAAATCTGTCTGTTCTCAACACAAAACACTCTTATCTGAAAACACCGAGAAATGTATTCGGTCCAGCGTAAAGAGTGAATGCAGCCTGGTTTTCATAAAGTAAAACTATAGTAGGGAAACAGATCCCTTAGCGTCATAGATAGCTCAAAATATCACAACACGCGATGTGCAACATGAATGGCTTACGTTAAGGCAACAATGTGCATGTTTAATTTACCCACAGATCGTTGTTCACATCAGTCTCATCTGACTGGGTCTCAACTGGCACCACTACACTGTGCTGTGGTCCAAAAAGTAAAGCTCCGCCCACAAGACGTTGATGTCTGGAGAAACAGGATGTACTTTCAGCACTTTGCTGTATCCTATCCTATCTATCCTGGTGGTTGCCCGTGGCAACTTCTTACACAGGTGATATTTGGGCAGCCGTCAGGACTGGCATTACATTTACAGAAAAAACATGAATGTGACAGTTACAAGCCTCCACCACAAGGGACAAAATGTTCATAACATACATGGTTTCATGTTGCAGTGTACTAGTAATGCTATTTTGAGCAAAAAAACAGTTTCAACAATCTGCCCCCAAGGTTTACCCTGATTACAGTCAGTCAAGAGCTAGGAAACTCTGGACATCCAGGTCTAAACTGGACCATATCTTCTGTTGTTCTACCCAAAGAACTTTTGTACACAGAACCATAAACGATTCTGTTGAAAACAGACGGGTTTCTTCACTAAGGCTTGTAAAAAGGGATTAAAGGGTCTACTCTTGGGCAACAAAACCAACTACATGGTGTTTAAAGGACTGGACGCCAACAGGCTCAGGTGTGAGAAAATCTAGGAAAAAGGGGGTCACCGTACTTCCCAGGAACACATCGGTACTTCTGGTGTTATCCAGGAAGCAGGGCGCCTGATTGGAGAAGCACAGAATCATGCTCCTGTAATGTCAAAGTCACAGTGACCGACGCCCATGACCGGTCAATGCCAATGAAAGTGACAGATGGAGTTGGCAGTAGTGTTTAGAACAGAGCGGGTGGGG